ATGGAAGAAAAAATATCCAATGTACTCAGTACTATTATGAAACCAATTTACAATCACTCAAACTTTCATATGAAGAATAGATCATAACTATGGCCCAAGATGAAGGAGGGAAGAGGGGGTTTGGGAGGGAAGGGTGGAGGTCAGATAGAGGGAGGTTGAATGGTGGGATCACACCTATGATGCATAATGCAAGGGTAAATGTTGGATCTATTAGTATAGAGTATAAATATCTTAACACAATAATTAAGTAAACGAGATGAGGTATATATTAACCAATGTGATGTAAGCATTCCTAATTCTATATGAAATCGGTACATTGTACCTCATAAATGCATTAATGTATACATGATCTATGAGTTTATGATTTAATAAAAAAATACATTCAGTAAAAAAATAAAAATAAAAATTGGCTAAAACATAAAGAAATTAACAAAAACATGAATAGCTAAGAAATATATGCAAATATATAAAAGTGGAGAAACTAATTTAAAAATAAATTTAATTTTCAATTAAATTGACAAACATTTATTAATATTGGTAATATACTATTATTATTAAAGCAAACTAGATGCTACTTCTAAAGGTGAGCATACAGGCATGTCCAGTCGAGTGTTATTGATAATAGTTAATATTTGCAACCAATGTGAATATTTCTCAGTAGAAAAGTGGCCAAATTATCGTAAACACTCCTAAGAAAAATAGTGCAACTCTTAAAAAGAATGAGGGAGAACTATGAGTACTGGTAGGCAAAGATTTCCAATGTATATTTTCTGTGAAAAAGTCACAGAGTAGCACTAGAGGAGGACTGCATATTATGTAAAAACGTGTGCACGTTTACGTATGTACACACGTGTATAGAAAAATTGCTGGAGTTTATGCTTTAAACTGCTAAAGCTATTTCTCTGAAAACTTCATGAGCATAGAAAAACAAATGGGTTGTCAGTGTAGAGTATTATGTTTAATTCTATAAATGACAAAGCATTGTGTGAATCTTCAGAACAATATGATGAATATGTGTCCCTATGTCATTTATTAAACACATTTTATTATAGTTTGTTAATTTACTTATAAAAGTTTTATTTTAAACCTGTGCTCAATCCAACATGGAGATAATTGTCATTATTTCTTTTCTTTGATAGATTGAGAAAAAGAAATAATTCTCACTCAGAATGTCAAAATAAAACAGAAATTAGGACATAGAGATACAAATTAAAGTTTAAAATGCCAAGAATTAAATTATTATCTAAAATTAGATTGTGATAACTGTTGCACAACTCTGTGAATATATTTTAAAAACTAAATTACATACTTTAAATAAATGAGTTTTATGGTATGTGAACTATATTTAATAAGGCTGTTAAAATATCAATGGTTTGATGTTCTGGCAATTTGTGTGGGATGGCTTTAAGACAAAAGCTAATAATTTCTAGTAGATTCAAAACTATTTACAACATATTTCTATCTCACTCTCCTCCTCAACTACTAGGAAATATTTTTTCTTTTCCAAATCCTTAAGATCAGGTGAAAGTCATTTGGGAGAAGTCACTGTTGTATAAATGAGGAGGTTGCTAGGTGAGGCAGAGTTAGGAGAGGTGTTCCTTTTACTTTATCTTTCAGATTAATATGCAGGTGCAAACAATTAGGTTACATTGTTTGCCTTTCTTAGGTAAAGTTCAAGGTGCAGTTAAGCCCTTCACCCAAGATGTGTGCCATATACCGTTACATTGTGTCATTAGATGAGGGCACACCAATACCCCTCCTTCCTTCCTTCTTCCCCTCAACTTGAATTTAATTGTATTTTTCTCTCCTGTAGGAGTACAGTTGTTCATCTAGTGGTTTCATATTAGTATTGTGTACATTGTATGCTTACTTCTCCATTCTTAGGATACTTTATTAAGTAGAATGTTCTCCAAATCCATCCAGGTCAGTAGAAATGATGTAAAATCTTCATCTTGTTATGGCTGAATAGAATTCCATGGTATACATATACCATAGTTTATTTATCCATTTATGGGTTGATTGACACTTAGGTTGATTCCACAAATTGTTGATTATGAATTGAGTTGTGATAAATATTCCAGTGCCAATGTCCTTATGATAAAGTGACTTTTTTTATTCCAGGTAAATGCCTACAAAAAGGATTGTGGGATAAAATAGAAGGCCTACTTTTAGCTCTTTGAGGATTCTCCATACTTCTTTCCAAAGAGACTATATTAATTTATAGTCCCACCAACAGTGTAAAAGTTGGACTTTGTGGTGTGAACTATTCTCTCTGGCAGTAAGTGATATCTCAGGGTGGTTTTGATTTGCATTTCTCTGACAATCAGGGAAGGTAAGCATTTTTTCATGTGTTTGTAGGCTATTCTTCAGAGAAGGTTCTGTTCATGTCTCTTGTCCAATGATAATAGGACTGTTTGATTTTTTTGTTGTTGATTAATTTGAGTTCTCTGCAGATTCTGGTTATCAGCCCTTTGTCAGATTCATAACATGCACATATCTTTTTCCATTCTGAATGTTGTCTGTTTATTTTAATTATTGTGTCCTTAGCTGTTCAGAAGCTTTTTAGTTGAATTAAGTCCTATTTATTTATTTTTGTTGTTGCTGCAACTACCAATGAAGTCTCTTTCATAAAATCTTTCCCTAGGCCTATGTCAGTAAAGGTTTTTCCCACACTTTCTTCTAGAGTTTTTAACATTTCATGTCCTATATTTAAATATTTTATTCATTGTGAGTCAATTTTTGTAAGTGGTAAGACTTTTCAATCTTGTTTTAGGCTTTTACATGTGGTTATCCAGTTCTCCCAGCACCATTTATTAAATAAGAATCATTTTCCCACAGCCAGGCATTGTGACAGGCACCTGTAGTCCCAGCTACTTGGGAGACAGAGGCAGGAGAATAGCTTGAGCCCAGGAGTTGAAGGTTGCTGTGAGCTGTGATGCAACAGCACTCTACCCAGGGTGACAGCTTGAGGCTCTGTCTCAAAAAGAATCATTTTCCCCAGTGTTTTTTTTTTTTGTTTGTTTGATTTATTGAAGATCAGATGGTTGGTTTCTTCTGTAGGTTTTATGTCCTGTTCCACAGATCTATGCCTCTGTGTTTGTGTCAATGCTATGCTATTTTGACCACTATAGACTTGTAGTATAACCTGAACCCTGGTACAGTGATGCCTCCAGTTTTGTTTTCATTTCTAAGAATTGTATTGGCTATATGGGTTTTTTTTTTTTCTGGTTCCACACAAAATTAAGTACGATTTTTTTCAAGGTCTTCAAAGTATGATGTTGGTAACTGAATGGGTATTGAATTAAATCTTTAGATCACTTTGGGTAGTACAGACATTTTAACTATGTTGATCCTTTCCAGTCAAGAGCATAGTGTGTCCTTCCATTTGTTAGTGTTTTCTATTTCTTTTCTTAGGGTTTCATAATTCTCTCTGCATAGATTTGTCACCTCTTTTGTTAGATACACTCCCAAGTATTCCACTTCCTTTGAAGTTTCTGCTTGATTGTTAGTGCATATCTGAAGGCTCCTGATTTGTGGATGTTGATTCTAACACCCAATAAATACAGTATTTCTTTATCACTCTAAAGAGTTTTGTGGTTGAGTCTCTGGGGCTTTCTAAGACTATATCATCAGCAAAGAGTGAGAGTTTGACTTCCTCTGTCCCCATTTGGATACCCATAATATCCTTCTCTTATGTTATTGCATTGGTTAGAGCTTTCAGAGCTATAATACAGCTACACATTTAAAAAAAATTATACGTCATGATCAAGTAGGCTTTGTCTCAGGGATACAAGTGTGGATTAATTTTTGCAAATTCATTAGTGTAATTCACCACATAAATAGAAGCAAAAACAAAGGCCATATGATCCTCTTCATAGATGCAGAAAAAGCATTTGACAAAATTCAGCATCCTTTTCTGACAAAAACTCTTAAGAAATTAGGCATAGATGAGACATTTCTTAAGCTGATAGAAGCCATCTACAACAAACCCACAGCCAGCATCATATTTAATCGAGTAAAACTAAAAGCTTTTCCACTTAGAACTGGAACCAGACAAGGATGTCCACTATCAAGGTGCTCTTTTTAAAAGGACATTTCTGGAAACTGCAGAAAGCAAGTGTGATGTAGGGCATTATGCCTGATCAACTATATAAAACAAAAAGGTTCCACCTGTGAGTGGATCCTACAGTATTTGTCTTCCTGTGTCTGCTTGATTTCACTTAGCAAAATGTCCTTCATGTTCCCCCATGATGCAAATAGCAGGATTTCCTTTGTCATTATTGTCTGAATAATCCTCTGTGCATATACACCATATTTTGTTCATCATTTGTCCACTTCACATTTGTTTCCATGCCTTGGCTATTGAGAATAAGGCTGCAATGAAAAGTTGAATGTATTGAAGCAGAGAGTGGGTGGTGTTTGCCAGGGGCTGAGGCGTGGAGTTAGTGAGGAGATGTTGGTTAAAGAGCACCAACTTCCAGTTAATAGAAGGGGATGTCACTCTAATCAAGATGCAGCATGATGACTATAGTTAATAATTCTGTCCTATGTACTTGAAATTTGCGGACAGTAGATCTTTATTGTTCTCACAAAAGTTATTTCACATGAAGTGATAGCTGTGTCAAATAACTGGATAGTGGGTACATTTCATAACATATAGATACATCAATTTATTTCATTGTATAATTAATGCCTTGAATATGTATAATTTTTATTTGTTAATTATAGATGAGTAAAGTCAAAAAGTAATTAGACCCAGTGACTAGTTTACACACATATTGGATCACTTCATACTTTTACAAATTATCAGCTTTTTCTTTTTCTTTACTACACAAAGAAACAACAAAAGTAAAATGTCAAGTCTTTAAGTCACCTCATTAGGCAAAATTACCAACTGCTTCTCTCCCCTCTGCAACATAAACTATAGAATTAAAATCCATACAATTATTCCGTATTTAGTTATTACTAATTACTAACTATTCTGGTGGCTCAGGTAGTGTTCAGGCAAAATAGCCATAAGCAAAGACCACCATGGTCAGGAGGAGGATGGCGTTGATGTTCACCACAGTCCTCCAGAGGGGCCTCTCAGATGTGTTGGTCAGCTTCTCCCTAAGGGCCTCTTCCTCCTCCTTGGTTAGCTTGGGACCTGTTTCCTGTAAACCACAGAATAAATCCCAAGTCTTCCTGAGACATCCACGAGATTGCTCAGAATGATCTGAAACAAATAAAAATAAACCAATGACCACCAAATATGGGAACTAGAAGTCCTTGTCAGTGTAGTGCAGATGACTGTAAGGAATGAAAACAACTGCTTATAATTAATGTTAGAGAAACCCCTCAGAAAATGCAGATGGATTTGATTACATGAAAATACAAAACTTTTACATGGCATAAAGTTCAATAAACAAAGCAAAAACAAGTGATCAAATGGGGAAAACATCTGTATATTATATTATAAGGATTAATTATCTTAAATATATAACTACTTAAAATAAATATACATACATATATTTTAGGTATTTATTAAATATATCTCTATATATATCTCTATAGATATAGAGACATTTCACATTTTCTCTTTCTATATATATATAGAAATCTGAAAATGTGAAATCTCTAGAGAGAGAGACTTTCAACAGCCCCATGTAAACATGTTAAAGAGATTAACATAGACACATGCTTCTTAAACTAGCTCATTTATAAAAGTAAACCTTAAGCAAAACCTATACTGAGATAAAATTCCTCACTTAGCAGTGGCAGAAATACAGAGGTGTCACAATATACTATGTGAGTGAGTCTGTGTGGACATAGGCAGTCTCACACCTGGTTGCTAGGAAAGCTTGACTAACCTCCTATGAAGGGAATTTGGTTGTACATAGCAAAATTCCATCAATATTTATCTTTTTACATAACAATCAAATTTCTCAGAAATCTATCCCAAAGGCTTATTTGGAAAAATACAAGACTTTTTTACAAGATCATTTGTTGCAGCATTGGAAAAATTAAAACATATTTCTAAATACAAATGTTTATGAAAAATGATAATGAAAGGAAGACTATATTCAAAAATAAATGATAGTGAAAATGATAGAAATTAAAATCTGTGAGAGACAACAGAAGTATTGTTTTGAGGGAAATGTACATGGTTTTAGTCACTGACACTAGAAAAGAAGAAAGTAAACATCCAGATTCACTGGAAATCAGTGTTGGAATACCTTTCAAAATATGGAATAATGTTAAAAATAAAATTATAAAAAATACATAAGAAACACAAATAATGTAGATAGATGAGAATATAAATGAAAACACAAAGTAACAATATAGAAAGGATATAACAAAAATAACAAAGCCAAAGTTTATTTTTTGAGAAAAGTACACTAGATAAGTCTAAATCTAATTATAGAGGCAGCAGAGATGGATAAGTAGATATTATAAATAGCTTTTTCCAATCTACTTAAAAATGTGTATTAAATGGCCACAATCCCAGAAACATATAATTTTCCCAAACTGATTAATGAATAAAAATTCTAAATATCCCTATACTTGCATAAATTTGACGCCCGCTTGCTCTCTCTCTCCTCCCCCCCAACAAGTAACACTAATGGCACTATCGGCAAAATACCAAAATTCAATGGAGATATAATTTTGATCATTTTGAAATATAACCTTAAAGTGATAAATAGGATAATTCCTGGTTCATTGAATTTGAACACTATGATCTTAATACCAAAATCAGATGGAGACTAAGAAAAAAAGAGGAGAGGAGAGGAGAGGAAGGGAGGAGGGAAGGAGAGAAGAAAAGAAAAGAAAATTATGGACCAGTCATACTTAGGAGAGCTGATATAAAAAAATTTTAAAAGGAGTAGAAGGCATTAACTATTCCTTCAGTTTGAAGAATAAAAACCCAAACAAAACAGTTAGTGCCCAGTTTAAGACATCATAGCAAGGCTCAACTATAACTTGGACTTTACCTTACAAATGCAAACAATGTAACCGAATAGTTTATACCCATATATTAATGTGGGGGAGAAAAAGACAACATAGCATGAAGTGCTAGAGACCTTGTCAATGGTTTTTAAAAAAGATTTGTGAGTCCTGAGGATGGACGTTGGAGACATTTTTGTGAAGAAAGTGAGATATGAAGTTAGTTTGGGACAGGCACTGTGGCCTGTAATCTCTGCACTTCTGACTGTAATCTCAGCACCTGAAAGGCTGAGGTGGGAGAATTCCTGGAGCTCAGAAGTTCAAGACCAGCCTGAAGAAGAGTGAGACCCTGTCTCCTCTAAAAACAGAAATATTAGTGGGGTGTAGTGGCTCATACTTGGGGCCCTACCTACTCAGGAGGCTGAGGCAAGAGGATTGCTCTAGTTAGCCTAAGAGTTTGAGGCTGCTGTGAGCTATGATGCCTCAGTATTCTACCCTGGGCAACAGAGGGAGATCTGTCTCAAAAACAAACAACAAAAATGTTCCGAAGAATAGGTATTTTTCCTCTTGGAGAAGAGGTAGAAATATTTTAGTGCTTGTTGTATGTGGGGAAAGTGACAAAAACTGTCTGTCTGGAACATAGGGTATAATGCGAGAATAGTGAGAAATAGTGTAAAAGAGAAAGGTTACCTGTTTTTTCATAGCCAATCAAGATTGCACCCTTAATGAATAATTAAGAGCAAGAGGGTTTGTAATTGATTGGCGTCTTGGAAGCTGGAATGTGGTTTCACAGATGGGTGATGGATGCACAGACTGATAGGCAAGGAAATGAACAGATGAATTTCATATGTTGTCTTGGTTGTTGCAAAGGTAAGAATTTAAAAGGTAAGAGTTTAAAGTTTCAGTTTTCCATAAATGGAATGATCAAAAGCTGAATTTAGTGGTAAAAGAAAGACAGTAACTCAAACCATACACATACAGAATTTCTACACAAAAAATCAAGATATTACCTTCTCCAACACCATCCTCAGTTTCATCCTGCCTTTGCTCATCTGCATCTAAATCAATTCGTTCCTCTGTACTGTTTCGAAGAACCCAACACATGCGATATAGCTGAATAGAGGAGAATACAAGCAAGTATATTAGTAAGAAATATTTATAATATGCTGATGTTACCTTTTACTACTGCATAGTTTTAAAAAATAAGACTGCACAGAAGAGCATAGATCATAAAGATAATGTCTCCTACCACACCTATTCACTAAAGCATGCCACCTGTTTCAAGTGATCTCTGTTTTTAATTCTGGTAGTTATTCAAAACTTTAAATAATATACTTAAAAATTATAGCTTTGGATTTATAATTTCAGAAGCATTAAGATTTAACTAACCTACCTTCACTACTAACCCTAGCTTCATTCATTTTTCTTATTATCCAAATGTTGCTACCTAAAACATTATTTCTTTCACTTGTGTAGTAGATGCTTTTTCAACTTTTAGAATATCTTCTTAAGTTCTCTTTCTGGATCTATCATGTTTAGATAGTACTATTCTTGGGTTCCAACTGCAATTAACACCCTTATATTTCCCTTTTCCCAACACACCTCAAAACATTTGTAAGCTATATCATTATCTTAAACCATTAAGCTTTATAGTCGTAATCGTTTCTGTAAATATAATTATAATACAATAGCATTTATGCTATCATATACTTTATCACATTTTGGCCACAGATACAAGACATGGTATTGGGTACAATGAATAACACAAGCACTGGATCATTCTGAGAAAATTGTTCCAAGCATCAGTGGGCTTTTTAATCCACAATTCAAGTCAGTGAAGGAGGAGGAGTGGGGAAAGATGGATAACTAGAGACATATATCACCAGAATGTCCCAGAAAGGAAACATTTTACATTAAAAACACAGAGAGAGAGAGAGAGAGAGAGAGAGAGAGAGAGAGAGATGTAATTCCAAGGGGAAAGTGCTAGCTCCTACTGAAGAATCTGTGGGAAGAAGTTGTGGAAACAAACAGGAAGGAGCAAGATTTTGGCAGAGATCAACCCCCTAGACCCTTGGAGTCCTTTGGAAAGGATATGTGGGGTCTGTTTCTCCTTCACTCACATCTTTGGCAGACTGATGACTACAGACCCGCTGCAGAGGATCTCCATTCCCAGAAGCCCAAAGGCTGCTGCCAGTGAATGAAGAGGTTCTTGAAAACAAAGCACTAGGTGGCCAGTGCCCCCCATCAACATAAACCTGAGTTGAGCTGATGGATGCCGCGGTGTGTCCCTACCCATTGTGTTCCTTTGTGCTCCGCTGGGAGCTACTGACATTCATGTCACTGGTCCCAACAAAACACTTCCCAATGTCTGTTCAGAATATGGTGGCCTCAGTGGACTTGTGGGTCTCAGGGGAACTGTGTGATCTAAGACCTAAAATATCCCAGGCAGGCTGCCTTCTTGGGATAAAAACAAAGGAGACCAGTGTGCCAGATCACCTCCATGCAGACTCTTCCCCTCTCTCCTCCCCTTCCTATTGCTGCTAAGTGGCACATGTGCCCCAAGGGACAATTGGCCTGGTCTCTGGGGCAGCTGCTTCCCCTCTGTTGTTAATTTCCCTATAGTGAGGCTCCCACAGAATGTGGGGGCTCATACTTTTCCTGTTATGGACCTGCCAGTGAACCAAGTGGTGCTTAGACTGTGAGATCCCTGCCTGCAATCCCTCCCTGGTGCTGTTTGCCTGGCTGTTTCAGCAGAGCAAGGTATACACCTACATGGAGGGGCATTAAGCCTACTTGAGCACTCCATGCACAACTTGGAACCAGCACATGTCTCTGTGGCATGGTCAGTAATTGAACTTGGAGGACAAGGGTAGTCTCCCAGACCAAATCTCATATACCCAGGATTCAACCTAGATTCTTGAGGGAATAGAGTGGAGATTTGTGAACTAATATCAGGGGGTAAGGACGCTCAGGGCATAATCAAAAGGAGAGTGTAGTATGGGTCTGAACCTCAGCACACTCACAGTGCATCCCTCCCCTCACATTGAAGCTAAACTCTCAGCACTGGGCAAAATGCTGGATAGAGAGATCCCAGCCTGTGACACCATTGCTGGTGAGTTCAGCTACTTTGTACTGCTGCTTGTGGCCAGATATTGGAAGGAGACCTTGGGGCAGGTGGAAAAAGAGTATAAGCTGTGCATTTCTGCCAGACTATAGTGGCCTCAGATTTGTCCTTTAATTCCCACCAGGACAGCTTTAATGCCCAACTTTGTGGAGACTGAAGAAAGACATACCCACCCACTCCCAGCCAGTCTCCCTTTTCCACCAAAATAGTCCCCTGGGAGATCCAGGGCTCCACTGACTGCCTTTGGCATTGAAGTGCTTCTCCTGAAGTGCCAGAGCCCCTCAGAGGTCTGCCAAAACAAAACTGCAGCTGGCTATTTCCAGTAATCACCACCAAGTGACAGATAGGACAACTTATACAGCTCTAAACAGTATTTACTGAGTCAATCATACAGAGCTTAGCTGGCTCTCACCCAAAAGCAGCTCCTACTGTCATAGAGATTAAACCTATCAGCTATATATCAGCTCTTCATATTGTTAAGAGACTATAGGACTGGGGAAAGATAAAGGATTTCAAAGACTCCAACTTTCTATGTCAAAAGGAGATAGGATTGCTCATGTACATAGCACACTATGGCCATAGTCTACATGTACCTGAAAATTCAGAAAACCACCACATGAAGGATAATTATAACCAAGGTGTTCATTCAGAATCTAGACCACCTTCTAAGTACTCACAAGCAAAGCCAAAGATTCTTTTCCAACGTATGCTACAGACACATCCCTATAATTGAAGGAGGAAAAAAAACATCTAAATGAAAGAGAATTCAAAAACAAAAAGAGACAGTTGCTACAGATTATAAGGAATTCAGTGCAAGAATTCTGGGAGTATGAAGAATCAGCATGAAAGGGCACTCTGGAAGGAGCACAACAGCTCTCTAGCAGTGAATTCCAACCAAAATAAAAATAGTAAAATGTTATATAAAAAATTCCAAACATGAGTTATAAGGTTTCTCAATGACTTTCAAGAGAAAATGGAAAACAAATTCAAAGAAACCAGTGAAAACATTTTTTTAAAAAGCTTATTGAAGAAATAGATACATTAAAACAAAGTAGTTTCCAAAAAAAAAAAAAACTCATTTAGAGAAATATAAAAACCCAATACAAATGTTAAGAGTGGATTACACCAAGCAGAAGAAAGAATTGCAGAGCTTGAAGACAAACCTTTCTAATTAACTAAGTCAGTCAAAATAACACTGAATCAAGAGAAATGAAGAAAATCTATGAGAAATATGGGATTAGACATATATAAAATCACCAAATGTAAGACCAGCAGACATCTCTAAGAATAAAGAAGACTAAACACAAGGCTTGGAAAACCTATTTAACAGAATAATTGCAAATTTAGCCTGGTCTTGCAAGAGATTTAGACATAAAGAAAAAATGAAAGTCCAATGAATACCTAGGAGACTCATTGCAAAAGGGAACCATCAAGGCATGTGATTCATTATAACACTAGCCAGAATTAAGGAGAAATTCTCCTGAGTAGTGTGCCAAAACACTAAGTAACTTACAAAGGAAAACCCATTAGACAAATAGCAGACTTCTCAAGAGAAGCTTTACAAACCATAAAGGAATAGGTCTCATTTTTAGTGTCCTTAAACAAGATAACTGCTAGCCAAGAATACTGTGTCATGTTAAACTAAGTTACATAAGTTAAGAACATATAATGTTGTTCCCAGACACACAAAAACTGAAGGCATTTGTTACTACTAGAACCACCCTACATGAAATGCTCAAAAGTTCATTAACATACAACAACACAATAGCTACCAAAAAGTGTAAAAACACCCACAAGTTATAGCTCATGGCTCTTCTAAAACAATAGCACCAAAGAGAACACAAAACAGTAAGATATCACCTAACATGCTGAATAGAACAGTATCCAAAATATCAATACTATAAGTCAGTTTCAATGGTCTGAAGGCAGCACTTAAAAGACTGGCTGAATGGATGAAATAACACAACCCAAGTATTTACCACCTCCAAGAAATACATCTAAACTACAAGGATTCACATGGACTCAAGGCAAACGGATGGAAGAAAAAATAGCATATAGGCTGTACCTATATTTTTTAAATGATTAATATCTACAAGGCCCCTCTACTGTCCCTTTCTACCAAGATACTTTTTGTTGAAAATTTCAGGAGTGTATGCTTTAAGACTTTTTCTGTGGTTGGACAAACATGTCTCTGTCTACGTGTAATTTAGTACAAATGCACAACTCTACATATTATAGTATTCTGCACTTATTGTTCCACTTGCCTCCTCATATTTTATGCAGATGCTTAATATTCAATACACTATTGAATGAACTTCTTAATGAAGTTGGATTTCCCCACTTTTTTCCATTTTTAAACTTTTACAGAGAAAATCCATATATATGCATACATATATGTGAGTGTGTGTGTGTATATACATATATATTTCTACTTGTAAAGAATTTGTACATAATAAGCTCCTAAAAGTAAGATTGTTGACTCTTAAGGTATAGAAATTTTGAAATAGACAAATACTGTCCAATTGCCCTCCTATAAATTATAAATCTTAGTAACTCATCCACAGTTCCAGACTACAGGAATTTCTCCACATCTTCACCAACACTATATTTAATTCATATTAAAAATATTGCCAATTTTAAAGTCAAAATGCATCTCATTACTCTACTTTCTCTGTCCTTCTCCCTTATGCTATGTGTTTTTCTTTCTTCTCTCTCTATACCTATGTTCATGCTGTATACAACATTCTTCTCATCCAAAACAGGCACAACCCGGTGACAGTTCTGCAGTGAAGTCTTTAGACAACAGTTGTCATTCTCTTCCTTATATCCTATTTTTTAAATGGTGTAGATTTATCTCCTGAGAGCACTGTGAAGTTTTAGAAGTATGACACTCATTTCCTAACACCTTACTTCCTATTTCCCTAGTGGTTTGCACATACGAGGTACAAATGTTTGTTTATTTGAAGGACTGGATGATAATCTCTTAGGGCTGTTCTCACTCTAGTGTTACAATTAATACATTGCCTGGGAGTTGTAAACTAGTAGCAACTTTAGAAGGCAACAAACCTTTATTTTTAAATTAGCATAAATCCATTACTTATCACTCACATGTACGTCAGGAATGGGTTTTGTTAACAGGGAAATTCCCAGAGCAGCCACTGTGGTCCCAGAGAAGAGAATGATGGCAAAGTACAGATAGTGCACTCCACAGATAACCTTGGGACAGTTACTGGCAGCCAGGCAGCTCCCTGTTCCATAGGAAAACTCTGCGATCATACGAATAAGGCCTATCACGAGTCCAGTGATTAGACCCCAGAATGCTCCCTGCAAAAGAAGCAAGAACAAAATAGGAACATTTAGGAAAGATCAGAAACTCATTCAAGGAAGTCATAATTATCATCTTGCCTGCTTTCTCAGTGAAGGAGCAACAAATGGCTGACACTGAGCACAAAGTTACCAAAACAGAGAAAATTGCAAACATATGTTTATTACTGGAGCAACACTATTACAGTGTTGATTTTCTAATTCCAGGAAACTACTATCTATACTGACTCAAGATGAAATTTTCCTTGACACACACATACACACCCATACATATCAATATATATGTGTGTACATATATGAATGCCTATATACACACATACACATTTGTATATGAAATTATGATTTATTTTACAAAACAAACAGAACTATGAATTATGTTACACAATTTGCAGAACTGGTATTAGGTCATTTTGAGAGTTCTATTAAGCTCTTGATAATCAAAATCATTCAGTTTCCCTGAGGCAATGATAGAAGTGGAAAGATATGCCCCTTTTCCTTTGTTCAAGATGCCATGCTTTAGGAAAATGATATTGTCTGTATATTAATATAATAATACAAGCTTTTGACTAAGGAACACCCAAGTCTGAATCCCATGACTTTACTTACTAATATTAAGTAATATGTGGAAAGAATTTTGATAGTAACATCTCTGCATCTGATCCTCATGTGAAAAATCTTAATAATAAGGCTAATAACCTAGAAACAATTAAGAGATTGAATGTACATGGCCCAATATAATTGATCAAACATGTGGTGTGCATGTTTCATAATGGAAATTAATATATTTTTAACCCTTACTAAGGGTTTTCCTCTAAGCATTTCATGTACTATTTCATTTAATCCTCACAGCAGCCCACAATCCCCATGATACCATAAATAGACACTATCTTTATCTTTATTTTACAAAACCAAGTAGTTTGCTTCAGATCACAATACTATTAGGTAGTATAGCCAATGATTGGACTGTGACAGTCTGCTTCCAAAACCTGTGTTCTTCAGCACTGGGAAATCCACATACACAGTATTTTTTAAGAAATATAAACACTGTGCTATGAATGTGTACTATATTTTTATCCTTTGTTAAAGTTCAGGAATTGTGGCTGACTTCAACAGAAATTGAGATGGGCTATGATTTATACAAATAGGGTATCAAGAATGCAGTGGAAGAAACAATTTTTTCCCCACTCCATCAGTGAGAATGCTTTTCAGTTTCCAATTACCTGTTCGTTCACTCTCTTACAGAAGACGGCGAGCAGGAAGATGGCTGCAACTGGAGATCCAAGATAACTAACCATCGATTGTATGTAATGGATCAGTTGTCCATTTTGAGATGCCTGTACTAATGGTACCCACAGGATGCTGATGACAATTATTGCAAGAATAAATATCCTGGCAAGAAAACAAAATGATGTAGATATTAAACATAAATTATTTTAAGCACATTTTTGGTGCTTTAGTTTTTGAACTAATTGCCATTTGTCGATTTTACAAACAAAATCAAGCTTCTTGACTGCATATGTTATTTTTTTCTAATTATTTTTTATTAAATGATAACTTTATACATTGATACATTTATAAGGTTCAGGATACTGCTTAGATATACAATGTGAAATGCTTACATTGAACTAAGTAACACATCAATCACAATTATACTCATTTATTAATAGTTTTAAAATGTACCATTGCATCATGCACATTAGTTGAAGTCCCCCCATATATACTTCCTCCTCCCATATCTCCTCCTCCTCCCTCTCTCTTCTGTTCCCTTCTACTTTCTGGAGTATAGTTATGTTTTGCCATTCGCATGTGTCTGTAGGTGGTTATACATTGATTACATAGTAGTACTGAGTACATTGGATACCTTTTTTTCCCATTCTTGAGATACTTTACTAAGAAGAATATGTTCCAGCTCCATCCAGGTAAACATAAAAGATGTGAAGTCTCCATCTTTTTTATGGCTGCGCAGTATTCCATGGTGTACATATACCGCAATTTGTTAATCTATTCATGGGTTGATGGGCACTTGAGCTGTTTCCATGTCTTGGCTATTATAAATTGGGCTGCAATAAACATTCTGGTGCAAATGTCTTTGTTGCAAAATGATTTTTCATCATTTCCTAGTAGAGGAATTGCAGGATCAAATGGTATGTCTACTTTTAGTTCCTTGAGTGATCTCCAAACTTCTTTCCAAAAAGGTAGTAGTAGCTTAGATTCCCACCAGCAGTGTAGAAGTGTTCCCTTCTCTCCGCATCCATGCCAACATCTGTAGTGTTGTGATTTTGTGATGTGGGCTAATTTTACTGGAGTTAGATGATATCTCTAAACGGTTTTGATTTGCATTTCTCTGATGATTAAGGATGATGAGCATTTTTTCTTGTGTTTGTATGCATACATTCTTAAGAAAAGAAAGAACTCAAACATTACCAGTATACAAAACAACTGTGACCATGATGCTGTTAGAGCAGGGCTGCTTTCACTGACAACAGATGGAAGCAGGAAGCTGGGGAAGTGTGATTTGGCCTCAGGTGGCTGCCATGGATGAAGGAGTCTGACCTCAGAGCTCTTATAAGTGTGCAGCAGCCCCACTTCTGGAGGAAGCAGTGTTGCTGTCACTTGCTCCTGCCTTGGCCCCAGTGCTGGCAACCAGCAGTAGAAACAACTCAAGTTGGGGGAGTATGAAAATATGAAATAGCTCTTCTGCTGGGTGCACAATGGTTTGACCTTTGGCTCTGATGGCAGCAACCAAGTTCAGCAGCAAATATGGGTGGAGGATGCAGATGGAGCTCCAGGGATGTGGATATTCTAGAGCTATTGGGCTCCAGGGATAGGCTCAGTTCAATGGGTGCTGGGCTCTCACATTAGCACTGTGCTATAGCTCCTTAGGACTGGGCGGTGTATGTGGGAAACATCGTGTGTTCCCCTTCTGAAGTAATGTCTTCACATGGTCTCAAGACACCTCCCTCTTCTAAGTTCTGTGCCCATAAAGGTCAAAGGGCTCTCCTGTGGCTTGATTTGAGTCCATGACTGGAATATAGGCTGTGAGTGGTTGGCCTCTCTTAACCTTACTTCTCATCAGGAAGCCTCTCTTGGTTCCTGGCCAGTCCTGGTAGAGCCAACTGCCTTGCTTCTCTCTTCTTCTGTGTGTCAGGAGTTTCCTGTCACTTCTCTCTTGGGTCACCTATTCAAATCGTGATTATCTGCTTCCTATTTGTCTTCTTTATTGTGGATAATGTAAGTACCAGAAGCCTCTAGTCAACCATTTTAAAGCCCTCCAAAATTTAGTATCATTATCACCATTAATTCTATTATTTTTTGCAAAAGTCATAATCAATTTCTTTTGAGATCTCTTCTCACATTCCTTTCTAAAAAGAATGACTAAATTTTAAAAGGCTACATGTGTAATACATGCACACTTGTAGCAATCTACTCAGCAGAAATGTGGTCCAATGTTCACCCAGAGACATTAACAAAAATGATCAAACCAGATGTCCATGACTAGAGTAGATAAGTTCTAATATGTTACTGTGATGAGATACCATATTGAAAGAAAGTAAAGATATATCAACTACTCATAGCAACATGGCTGGATAACCCAAAAGTAACACAGAGGTAAGAAGCTTTGAAACAAGGATTAAATTTTGAGTTAGTCTATTTCCACATCCTGAAACTGGGAAAAGGCAAATTATAGCATTTGAAGTCTCAGTTGTTATCTTTTGGAAGTTAGAGCCCAAAGGGGGCTTCTAGGTGCTGGTAATTTCCATTTCTTGACTTCATTAGTGGTTAAATGGGTGCTCATTTTCTAATAAATTACTGAGCTATACAGTTATACTTTATGTTTTCTGTATGAACATTACACTTTGATTTTCAAAATGTTAGAAAATTCTATGACAACATAGGGTCCACTCAGAAAGCATAAAGGGAAGAAATAAAACTATTTATCCATTGTTTCTGCTTATTTCCTTCAAGCTCACTGTCTTCAAGGACCCCCAGGTGCTTAGGAACCCCTGCACAGAGTGAACTCTCCTAGTACTGTCTTGCAATTCGCCCCTTCCATGAGTCTGTCCCTTTCTAACATGGTCCACTGCTTAATGAATGCAATTGTGTCAGTGTTTGGATATCCTAATCTATTACCTCCATGTGATACACCTGGAAATGCTAGATATAACACATTAACCTATCATATTAGAATGGAATTTTATACACCATTAGGACACCAATGAAGTTACATGAATATGTGGATGGAAATAGTATGAGGAAGAGAAGAAATAAGAGATAATTCAAGGCACTTTATGGTATGAAAAATAAATTATCCCATTTAAATGTGTAGCCCAGATATGGGCGGAGCCAAGATGGTGGACTGTAGCCAGCTTTTTACAGAGGCTCCTGTCCAGAAGGAGGCTTATAGGACAGAAGTTTAGCAAGTTAGCTGATGGTTTGGAGCAGAGTCAAGAGAGAAGATTGAAGAGTGCACTTCAACCTTCCTGAGGTGATCTGCAACCCCAAAAATACAAACAAAAGGTACAAAATCCACCACTAAGTGAATGGGAGTCCCCTCTCCAACAACAAGGGCTCGCAGTTTACTCCATGCAAACAAGTGAGCAGAGTTCAAACTTCCTCCAACTCTATCCCACCAGAGAGACCCTCTAAAAACTGGACCTCTTACCCCGGCTGGTGTGCCACCTCCTACCCCTGCTGGTGTGCCACAGCACCCTCTGGCAAGGCATAAAACTGTAAAACTGTATAAAACTGTATATATTCCCCACCTGAAACACTGAATTCTGAGGAGTCCCCACCCACCCACTCCGAGGTCTGGAGGTTTGTTACCCATAGAATCCAGATTCTTGGGCATCTCCTTGAGAGAAGTGGAGGGGGAAAGGGCTGGTGCTATTCTGTGTTGACTGTGGTACAGGCGTGAGGAGAAGAGAGTCAGCTCAGGGGATGCCAATACAGCAACGGTGGCATACTGAGCTGCAGGGTGACGCCCTTCAAGCGGTCTCTCTGGGCAGACAGAGGTACCGGACAGAAGCCACAGGCAAAACACAGAGAACTTTAATGGGTGAAGCACCAGCTCTCAGGGTGTAATCCCCCTAAGACAAAGGCAGTGGGTGGACAGAGGCTAGAATTGACACCTAAGTGTAAATTGCTATTTGTCTGCTGCCTAGAGCTGAATGCAAGGACTTGCAGAGAAATCTAGCTGGACAGAAGCCCAATTTAAAAATGCAAGGCCCCCCTGCTGAATTCAGAATTTAGTGGATTTTGTCAGTCCCTGGAGTGAATATGGTCCCAGTCAGCACCTGTTTCAGTCTGGGGGATTACGAGTGACTGGGGGCAAGGTGGGGAAGGAGGTATTAACCTTCCCAGACTAACCCATTTGCCAGGTGGGTCCCTTTGCCCTCACAGAGTGGGGCAGGCCCAAAACTGCTCAGTAGAGTCACACGCCTCACCAGTGGCACAGGAGATCCCTGCCCCAGGCTCCAGCTCTGGGCAGACCCAGAACTGCTTGCTAGTGCCACGGGCATCCGGTGGGCAGTGGTGGAGGAGTCCTCTGTTCCAGGTAGACCCAAAACAGCTGGCTAGAGACACACACACCATGGGGGCCAGGGGAGAAGTTCTTTGCTCCAAGCACCCAAGCAGGGTGGGCCTAGAACTGCTTGCTAGAGCCACGTGCCCCTGCAGGTGGTGGTGGAGGGGTCTACCACTCTTGGAGGGCCCAGAACTGCTTGCTAGAGTCACATACATCCCAGGGATGGAGGTGGGGGAGTTCCCCACTCCGGGCTCCCTTGCTATGAGGGCACAGATCGGCTTGCTTGAGCCACACGCATCCAACGGGCGATGGTCAAGGAGTTCTCCGCTCTGCCTAGCTACTCTGGTGGGGCTGAGCTAGGACTGATCTGGTCACTCGCATACTCTGCACTACTGCAGCCATTTCCCCACGCCCTGGCTGCTCCAGGGTGCTGAACTAGGACTGATTTAGCTACTATACTTCCCCTGTTCCACCTTTTGCCCCAGAGGGTCCGACGTAGGACTGATCTGACTGCTGCTGCTGGTCTCCTGCCCCCGGGTCACCCCGGCAGGCTGAACAAGGTGTAATCCAGCCATGCACACTCCCATGCAGCTGCTACCATTCCACTGGACCCCAGAACTGGGAGAAGACAACAGACACACTCTGCCTGTCTCTCTGGGCAACCAGAAGAAGTCACCAACTGAACGGATCTGATAAGGCCTCCAAACAAGGTAAAATCAGCATGGGGCAGAATCAGCGGGAAAATTCTGGCAACTTGAATAACTAGAGTAGATCAACACCTCCAAGAGAAAATGGGGAAGACACAATTGAAGACCCCATCCACAAGCAAATGGCTGTGATGTCAGAAATTGAGTTCAGAATGTGG